TAAAAAAGAGGTTTTTTAAAGATATCTTAGTACTTACTAGGCCGATTTTGACGCTTTAACCACCATTAGATGCGTCTTAACAAGCTTTACAAAAGTCTTTTAAGCAAGAAAGATGATTAACTTAGTATAAAAAAAAGTTTTAGATGCATATACACCACATTCACACTATAGTAAATTTATATAGTAATCTGAGTTACATTTTACTAAGATCATGCTTCAGTTAACTAGAGGATCATCAATTAAAAGGATTCTTTAAAACTATCATTTTATTTGATAAAATAAGATGTGCCAATAGAATGATTCAAGTCAGTAATTGTTATCTATGAATTTGGTATGAAAAATCAATAGCAAAAGGAAACTTTTATAGAATATATACTTGGTTATATTACAAATATAGAATTGAAGTTAAAAAAGATGAAAACCAAGCATTTGCTTTTAACTATTCTTATACTAATAACTTTATAAAATATAGAAAACTTATATAAAAAAAGCTATTGATTTTATTTTTGATGCTTAAAAAGAAGTTAGTAAAACTACTATTAGAAATTGCTAAAAGACTACTAGAATTATGCCAAAAATAAATAAAACAGAAGAAAGTAAATTAGATGATAAACTTGAACATAAAATACCTAAGATTAATGATGCTACTATGTTAGTTGATAATTTTTACATGAAACCAACCCAATGACCAAAGAATTAGAAAGTAATATTAATGAATATATCTATATGATGGACTAGCCAACTGTAACTGAAGATATATTAACAGATGATGGTATTATTGAAGCAGTAATAGATAAATTTTGTGAAGACAAAGATAATTATAATAATGATGATGACAAACTACCACCATCTCAATAACTCTGACTGAGGCTATTAAAGTATTAGAGAAGGTTATAAGATAGTAGGAAAGCCTTGATATTGGAATTAGATTTAATGAGTATAAGTTAATTATGTTGCAAAAAAGGCTTAAAGAATGGAAATCTGAAAAAAAAAATAAAAAAGTAGTCTTTTATCTTATCTTTTTTTGAAAGTACTAGCACTACTTCCTAAATTTTACTTCAATTTTGCTTTTGGTTTATCTGTATGTTATTTTTTTATATGTAATATCAGAAAAATTATAGAATCAAAATAAAAAATACGCTTTTAAAAGAAATCTTATTTTTTTTTAAAAAAAAAATACTCTGTATGCAATTACAATATCATGATTATCTTAAAGTCAGATTGTAAAGGAAAATTATATTTGTATAATACAATAAAGCCTTGAATTGCTATAACTGCGACTAATAAAAGAGACTAAGATTTAAATATAAATTTTACTTAGCTGAGTTTGCAGCTTTGTATAATAAACTCTTTATATTTATGTAGTATATAGTAAGTCAGTGTTCTCAAATAACTTTTAAATAGAAAAATGACCAAATACTTAACTTAGCAACTATATTATTTAAAAGTTAAAATCTAGAAGTGTGTATGTATATATATATCACTTTTTTTATAAAGTTGCTTTGCAATTATTTACTTTTTGATTGGTTGGCTTGTAAGCCCATGATTTGGTGTAACTTTAGCAGAGGAGTTTTATATAGGCATTATATAGATGGTTAACAAAAAATTGTGATAGTAACTATACAGCAATTGTGCTTATATAAGGTATAAATAATATAAAATGAGTTAAAAAAAAATAAATATAATTATATTGGTTTGGTGACTATAGAGAAGGTGATTATATGGAGGTAGCAGTGATCTTCGACGGTACTACATGAAGGCTGAATTTGAACCGGGGTCCGAGATTGGAGAACCGAGCGATCAGGTCCTTTAGTGGGGGACACACTAGCCGAACCGCCAGTTTAGACGCACCGGAGAAAAAGGCCATACGCTCCGAAAGTATGGCCCAAGGGGAGGGCGTCCTTCAGGCACCTAAAGCCTGGGCAGACCAACCTTTCCGGGTTGCCGGCTGGAAGTTAGGAATGGACCGATAAAGAATCCGGGTAAAGAGACAGCTCGAATGTGGGTACTGGGGTTGTTATGAACCAATACAAGGGCAGGAGTACGTAATGGAAGACTAATTAGGAAGGTTGTGCTTGAG